AGCGGCCCACAAGTATATCCTCGGTCTGTGACTTTGGTATTAATGTTGTTGTTGTTGTTTGTTTTTTTTAATTGATGTTTTAATCACATCGTCCCGCATGGAGCTGTTGTGAACACGAGATGACATTGTTATCAGAATTTGTTTTTCTCGACGTTACTGTCACTGTTGCAAATGAGTCACAGATAATTCAATTATATTGTTTTTGACAAGTTAAGTTTAAATGTTAAAATTAAAATATTTATTGTGTATTTTTTTTTAATTATAATGTCAATCATGTTTATTTATATTAAAAAAAAAAAATACACAAGAAAGGGCCAAAATAACCGTATTCAACCACAGGAATCACTTTTTCATGAAAATAATGTGCACACCAAGCTGAATGTGCACCAAATAACCGCACAGCTGCCTTATGTCCACGTTCACTTAGAATTTTTGTTACAGCTTTTTCTCTTTACCACCTTACTGTTAACGCCACATGGGTGATTTAAATTTAAAAAAAAAAACAAGTCCTACAAAGCATCGATCTCTTGGTCTCGATTGACCCAAATCTAAACATTTTGAGGCGAACACAGTCAGTGAAACTTTCTGCCGTCATCAGACTATTTTTGTATTTTATCGAAAAACGATGTTAAAGCCCGTCAATGATATTGATCCAATATTGACTCTGTCATTTTCATCGTTAGTTTAAAAGATCTACCTCATCAGTTAAAGCATGCACCCCTTCTCCCCCTTTTTTTGTCTACCCCTTTGGTGGTTAAATCGGCTTACCATGAAATAACCTGCATGCAATCAACGTTGTGTATATTCAATATTGAAATAGTAAAGTCTTTATGAAAATCTCAACTCAAAAACATAATAGCCAATGTATCAAACATCAGTATTGTGTATTTCACCTCGTACGTTGACATCACTCGTGTCCAATATGCAATTGATATGTTGACTTGCAGGTCCATCTATCATGTGACCGTCTATAACATTTTTCATTGAAATCCTGGTATCTATACAAGAACTTGATGATAAAAATTACTTGAAAATACCTATTGGTGGGCAAGGAAGTTGGTTGGCAAAATGTGCCCCAACCCACTTTTTTTCTTAGAGTAAAATTTTCAAAAATCTAAACTGAACTAAAATGGTTGAACAGTAATTGTTTATCGTTTTTTGTTGTTGTTTTTTGGCTGAGTTAATGATGAGTCCTGCTTTCTAAATCAGTTCAATATTGTAAATTAAAGATGTATGCCTACCAGTTTACAAACAATGATTTGTCGATAATTTCTCCCAGCCAAGCCCATTTCACATCAATGAATAAACATGATTAGCGAACGATTTGCTTCTAGTGTTTTGTTCATGAGATCAAATGAGCAGGCAATAGACACATCATCATCGCGAGATCGGATGAGTGGGCAATAAATAGACATATCTTTATCATGAGATCAAATGAGCAGAAAATAGACACATCATAACCATGAGATCACATACGCAGGCAATAGATACATCACTATCATATTCATTTTTTTTTAAAACTCCACCAGCTTATGCTGTATGTAACTCCATGACACCAGTGTTGACATATTATGTTATTGGTCTGTTAGATGTTGGCTTTACTTCACGAGCCTTAAAAAATGTTTACTCTTCCTACAATTGCATATGTCATTAAAATTTATTTTGTATTTCCCCTTTAGAAAACTTAGCTGTAACATTGTCATCAGTGTCTGGTCCTAGGAGGTGACCAAGTAATTACAGCTCTTCCAGTTCTTCCTTTTTTTAAATTTGAGAATAAACAGTGCTGTTTCATTTTTAAAAAAAAATAATTAGATTCAAGGTAAACTCTTCCTCTTCTAGAGTTTAACAAAATAACTCTGACCCGCCAGCACTTGAGTTTCATGCACGTAGTGCAGCACAGCTAATTTCTCTACCGGGATCTCTGTTCACGCTCGGGTGATGACATATTTAAAACGACACATTACATATATAACCGGCCTAGACACTCTGCACAGTGACAGAGTACATGACACGTGGTACATGACTTACACTAAAGTAAAAGCTTTCCTTTCCACCTAAAATAATAAATTGTGCCCTTAGAAAGCTGATAATGCACCTCTTCCGCCCCATCCTCCTTAGAAAGCTGACAATGTAAATCTTTCACCCCATCCTCCTTAGAAAGATGACAATGTAAATCTTCCACCCCATCCTCCTTAGAAAGATGACAATGTAAATCTTTCACCCCATCCTCCTTAGAAAGATGACAATGTAAATCTTCCACCCCATCCTCCTTAGAAAGATGACAATGTAAATCTTCCACCCTATCCTCCTTAGAAAGATGACAATGTAAATCTTCCACCCTATCCTCCTTAGAAAGATGACAACGTAAATCTTCCATAGAAAGATGACAATGTAAAACTTCCGCCCCCCCCCAATCCTTAGTAAACTAACAATGCACATCTCCCACCCCCCCCACCCCCCACCCTTATTTTAGTAAGATGGCAATGCACATTTTCCGCCCCACCCAAAAAAGTAAAATATTTTTAAAAATTAAATTAAAAATAAAGTAGCCTGGTTTAAAAACCGTATGAGACGTTTACTGAAGTAAATCTATTTGATATCGGAATTTCTGTTGAATATGCAGTATATGAATTAAATATCAATTTTACAAACACATTCTTGAGCGCAAAAATATATAGCCTACAACATGGGCGCCCGCAGAAAACTTTCTAGGGGGGGGGGGCAAAAAATCGATTAACTTTCAGGGGGGGGGGGAGGATTTTTAGAAATGTTTTAATATAGTTTTAATTTACTGTACCATATTTGTATGGTAAACGAACGGACAGGACATCAGCTTAGTTACTTTCTCTTTATTTTCTCTTTACTTTAATAAATTGTTTGTCTATTTTTGTCTAAAAAATTTTTATCCAATCAATCCAGGGGGGCACTTGCCCCTTGCCCCTACCTGCGGGCGCCCATGGCCTACAATTATTATTTCGAAATATATTTTTTTTAAATACCTGTAAGGGAAAAACATGGAGCAGCAAAACGAATCAATCAATACTTTAGAACTCAAATTTGAAACAGTTCTCTTTATTAGTAATCCTAAAAATATCACATGTCAGATGATTGAGTACAGCGTCCAATGACAGACCATTCAGTTCATTAACAAAGTTATTAAATGGCGAAAGTTTCAATGCACGCAGGTCTTATAGAAATAGTTACACCTGATAACTCGGACCACTAATTGCTTTTGTCAATTATATTGATATTTCAATCATTTCTCCATCTTTAAAAATTCATACCCCATCCACTAATATCTAATTATAATAAGGCTTACCGTGTATTGGTTGTCGATAATCTTCTACTGCCAAGGTCTTGCACTAAGTTGACCCGGTATTTACTTTTATTTTCTTTAATCGCAAAGTAAAATCGGCAACAATGTCTGACATTATTTTATTTTAAAAATAGATATACATGTCTGCGCCCAAGATAACCGCACTGAAACGCTCGCATCTTGATTGAGTACGTGGGTTTGTTATAGGCGCAACAGCTCCAGTTACTGAGTACGTGGGTTTGTTATAGGCACAACAGCTCCAGTTACTGAGTACGTGGGTTTGTTATAGGCGCAACAGCTCCAGTTACTGAGTACGTGGGTTTGTTATAGGCGCAACAGCTCCAGTTACTGAGTACGTGGGTTTGTTATAGGCGCAACAGCTCCAGTTACTGAGTACGTGGGTTTGTTATAGGCGCAACAGCTCCAGTTACTGAGTACGTGGGTTTGTTATAGGCGCAACAGCTCCAGTTACTGAGTACGTGGGTTTGTTATAGGCGCAACAGCTCCAGTTACTGAGTACGTGGGTTTGTTATAGGCGCAACAGCTCCAGTTACTGAGTACGTGGGTTTGTTATAGGCGCAACAGCTCCAGTTACTGAGTACGTGGGTTTGTTATAGGCGCAACAGCTCCAGTTATCACACGTTCATGGTAGTCTTTTTAAGGAAGATATTTTTGCCGGTTGTAGTACAAATAATGGTACTCTCAACAGAGGAACACGTAGGACTATTCATAGTTGACCACTGTTTTCCCTCATACCTAAGTGGTGGTGAATAGAGAAGAAATTTGGAGAAAAAAAATGTGGCAAAACAATTACAGATATTACTTAATGAGTGTGTGGCCATTAAGACGTTCGTGCTGTTCGTTGTTACAAAATGTGTGTCATCCTTGAAGTGTACCGTGCCAACCGAAACGGGGGAAGCGGGCTGACCGGATATGTTTTAATTAGAGAATCGCGCATGGGATCTCCTCTAAAGTCTGAGACGACCATACTTGAAACTGGACACAAGTGAAGACCCGGTTCGACGCATTTTAAGGACATATGAGCATTTTCGAACCAGATAGATGTGAAGCAACTCTTGATGGAACCAGGTATACGTGCTGGGATGATGTGTTGTGGAACATGATAGCCGATTGTTTATGAGTATTAAAATTGTTTAGTCTTCTTCAGTCTCCGACGAAAGTCAATTCACTTTCTGATCTATCAGGCTTCCCTTTCCATGGACAGAGTACATTTCCAAAGACGGCGAAATTTATTAACATTACACTGCGAAATTTTGTTATATTTATCCGTCGTGTTAGAAAACTCTCGGGATTGTTCTGACAACTTTTTTCAAACTCGGCCCCCTTTCACGAAATAGTATTAGCATTATGCATGAGCCAAATTGCTGTGAGCCATGGATACTTGCAAAATTGCTGTGAGCCATGGATACTTGTTCCTCCTTTGAGAGGCCCATTTCCAACTACAATTGGTAGCTCTGCACCGTTGACAAAGCCATGTATACTTTCAAGATGCGGGAATTTTAGTACTGTTACTTTTGGCGCATGCTGTACTTTAAGCTACCCTTTTTTTTTTAAATAAAGAAAGATGTCCAATTCCTTATTCGATTGGCATTTGAAATAAACCTTCCCAAAATACTTATGGCTCTCTTGTTTCACTCCAGGCCGACTACAAGCACATAAAGATAGACGTGTCAGAGAAGAACACCTACGCGCCACGCTTCTTGAACACGCCCTACGCCTTTGAGGTGTACCGCTATGGGGTCGGCGACGTGATTGGCGTGGTCAAGGCCGCGGATGATGACCAAGTGGACTACAATAGACGCTTTACTATGTCTGCTCCAACACATCAGGTAAATATGGAATGGTCACTTGTGCGGCGTCCGAAAACTGTTTAAACTTTTCTTGTTTAAGGCATTGGCTCGTGGATGAGCTAGCCTGCAATGAAAGAATTGCCTGCATGTTCAGATGATTGGATCTATCTACTTAAGTTTTAAAGGGACGGTATACTTCCTTTCCTCACTGGCAGACAACTACAAGATCCTCTTATCCGTTAACTACCAGATTGATATAACGACGTTAGATGGACCTTTGAGGATATTACCAGATTACTTTAGTTAATTAATACACGAAAGCGTTAAGAAACAACTGTTACCCCTTTGAGCCTTTGTCATATAGCTGTCTAGCTCTGGATACATTGGTAGTAGGCTAGTAGGGCTTAAATCGGTGGTAGGGCTCACATCAGTGGTAGGGCTCACATTGGTAGTGAGGCTTACACCGGTAGTAGGGCTTACACCGGTAGTAGGGCTTACACCGGTAGCTGGGCTTACACCGGTAGTAGGGCTTACACCAGTAGTGTAGTGAGGCTATAGATACATGTTGAACTGCGAGAAGGCTTGTAATGTAGTAACTTTCTATAGCCGCTCGGTGGTGGCTGGTTGTCATACAGTTTAATATTTACTTTATATATCCAAGTAAATGAGGTCATGATAATTATAGCATTTTACAGATTATCCAAAGTATGACAATCATTCAATAAACATGAGGGATAACTCTGGATGTTACTGTTATTTTTTTTAAAATAACGCATCCTTAACAAGCAATGAACATGTTGTTCATAATGAGGTATGATCACGTTGTATAATAAATTTGAACAGCAACGGTGATAAAAAGAAAATGTTAACACCCCCCCCCCCCAATGAGTATCCAAAGGTCAAATAAGATAATCCGTTAATATTATTGCATTATTACCGCAGTTATTTTGAGGGGTTTAGTTTATATGAGAAGTACCCATTTATGGGCTCCAAATCTATGTGATATGCGATTGGGGTCCATGACAATCTCAATAATCTTATGTTCACAATTAGCCCCTGCCTAGTTTAAGCACGGAGACTCTGAGGTTCTCCACGATTTAGTTAACCTACAATTCTAGATACTTGGCCATGATAAATATAATGCCGCACACGTGGGTCTATGTCAGGCTAAATGCCGTGGCAGGATATTTAATATAATGGCATGGCTTTCAGGACTCTACATGAACAAACATAAGTTCTATATTCGACTCAAAGCACGGCAGTACTCGAGCACTATACAGTATAATCGCCAATGGGATACTGAAGTATCACGCTAATTTTATTTGAGCCTTAGCGCATTCCAGCGTGTGTCAATAGAACTCCATAAATTATAGCTGTTACTTTAAACGCATGCACACGTGGAGTCTATACAAGGCATTGTACGTGGTCGTATTTTTAAGTGTGGCGATTTAATTGTTTATAGGCTCATTCATTTAGCTCGAAAAAGTCATGAATTTAAAACACTACTTGACATGGTCGATAATGAACCCAAATCGCCCATAACAATCACATAATAAAATACACTCTACAAAATAAGGATATAAAAATGAGCATGGCTAGTTACAGAACTGCCACATAACTGGTGAACAAAATATAAGAACTACGAAATAACAACAAAATAACTTTGCTCTCTGCAAGTAGGCTCTGTCAATTCAAATTCGAGCAGGTCGCCTGGACCTGCCTGATAAAGGCCTTGCGCGAACACACAGGGGAACAATGATGTCATAAGGTGTGTTCCGCCGTCAACTAGCAGAGAGCAACAGAGAGGTTTTGTATTGGTCACCGGGTGGTCAATAGCCGTGCATGAGTGAAACGCGGCTGAATAGTTCCCGGCACACAGCGTTGTGGTAGTTTTAAATTTCAGTTGGTGTGTACGTGTTATCTAGGATTTTACCCGATGTATCGCAGGGGCACTCAGAGCACACGACTGTATGCTAATATTAAGTGGCACCTTGCCACATTTCAGAAAGGTTGTTCTCAGAAGTCTTCTACAGCGGCTGGTTCATCGGTCACGACACGCATTCTGGAGGTAGATGTTATGTGTGGGTCGAAACTTAATCATACCTATTTGAAACATTCTCCCAATGTAGGACAATAAGGGAAAAATTTAAAAACCTTAATTAACCAGAACACTCTTAAGAAAGTATAACGCTGTGGGTGGATGTAATAGCTCCATCCAAAGTTTAACGCTGTTAATCATACACTTGACGGACCGAGCACTACCCGCGGGCCTCGTGATTGCGATCTCCGATCATCAGTAGGCATTGGCTAACAAATTAACATTCTGAGCTATCAAAGTACTCGTGTATATGAATGAGCAGTTCTTAAGCTGTATTTCAATGCTGGCCAACGACGATTGATCATAAAAAGATTGAACAAGTCTAAGCAAACACGTTAAGGGTGTGGGCATAAACCGAACCTCTTGTGCTGCATTGGTGGATAGCAGGAGGGAAAATCACTGCTCATTTCCAAAAAAAAAAAAAAAAAAACCTGTATCGATTGAAAAGCCTTGTGTTTTCAAACTTGGCATCTGGTAACGAAATGAGGTGGATACTGAGACCTTATTGAATAGATCAAGGGTTCTTAAACTTTTTTGCAGCAAAGCAACATTTCTAGATTTCAAAACATTTTCTGCAACCCCTATGATAAAAAGATGATATTAAAAAGATGCAAAAATATGATTTTCCGTATTTATGACGTCATAGTATCTCTCTACAATTAACTATTGTTGGCGTCATACTATCTCTCTACCATTAACTATTGTTCACGCCAAAATATCTCTCGACAATTAAATATTATTGACGTCTGATACATTTTTTTTAATGTGCAGTATCAGTCTAGTTTAAAAACAATTTGTCACAATAGTTTACAAATCAAAATTCCTTTTTCTCCTGCTCAAATCCGTCAGGATGAGATGAACAGGAATGAAACATTTAACGCTTTAAAAAAAAATAAGTTATTTAACGCCATCGTGACCTGGGAATGTGAGGAAGACGTTACATAGATGCTTGACCTGGGAACGTGACTTAGGGCTGTGATCTGGGTAAATGACCTGGGGACGTGACCTGGAGACAAGATTACGAAACGCGACCTGGTGAGGTGATATGGAGAAGTGACCTGGGGATGTGACCTGGAGAAGACACCCAGGGATGTGACCTGGAGACAGGATTATGAAACGTGCCCTGTAGACGTGATATGGAGAAGTGACCTGGGGATGTGACCTGGAGACGTGTACTGGAAGAAGGCAGAAGCGGTGGGACAAAATTTGGGAACGGTTGGAGATACTTGACCTTGGCCGGGCTGCATGTCAATTTCCTTTCTGTGACCTATGTCCCAGACGGGATAGCAGGCAAACATGACAACAGGACACGACGTTCATAGCAGACTCAACTACGGAAACTATGTGGCACGTTTACCCGCAGGCCCTCATTAGGTAGACAGATACGGACACTGGGTTAGTCAACATTGAATCTTAGACACTGGGGCATGTTTGGATGATGAGGGCATAAGAGTGAACCTTAGGGTGAACTATCTTGTATTTTATGGTCACTATTTTTTTTTCCTTAGACAAACTCTTTGTTTGCGGGTTACGAGGTGACTTCTTCTAACTTAACCCCACCCCCCCCCCCTTTCCCATATACACACACGTTTCTTGGAATTCACCCCTGTCTACAATTTCTTCCCTTTTGCTGTTTCTCTACACAGTAGGTCTACTGCACCAACACTCCAAAAAGTTTTTAAAAATACTTTCCTCGTAACCTGTAACAAACGTTATAACCTAATTTCAGAAAGCCTCTGATTACGTCAGTTTAATAAACAAAGATGCGACAGGCAGCGAGAGGGCAGCTCAAATACTCTTATCGCAGCCAGTCCCGGAGACTGTTTCTACACTGGATCTGCTTATAACGGCCGTGGACGAAGGGTCGCCCCAACAAACAGCCACGACAACAGTGAAAATAAACATCATCATGGTGAAACGTGAGCCAATATATTTACTTTTCTTATTAAAAATGTATTTAAAATCAAGAATGTAATTTTTAAAAACGTGTTCAGCAGTTGTTTTTTTTAAAATAAGTTCCTTTAAAGCTTAAAGATAACGAAAAGTGGATTTCATGTACCGGTACAGTGAACTTTTAAAAGCGGTGCAAATGTGTAATTATTTACAAACAATTTTTTTCCGTCCTAAAAGAATAATTACTGGGGAGGTTGGGGCAGAACAGTTGGTTCAAAAAGTGGAGGGCTGAGACGGCGCAAAAAGTACAATTTAAATAAAATGGAAGAAAAAAAATTGATATAAAGATAAAAAGGAAAAAAAAAAAATTGTTTTCAAAGCATATTCGTTTTCTTGCGCCTATGTTTGATTTTCATAGGCAGATTATGAGATGAAGAAAATGCGCAAAGTGGGGGAAGTTGGGGGGGGGGGGGAGATTAGAAGTAAAACAAGAGAACATTTACTAAGCTTAAACATTCTTGCGGTTATCGGCAAACTTTCTTAATAAGTTGAGTAGGCTAAATTGGGTCTAGGTCTTCAAAATCTGGTACATTTGATGTTGTTTCTTTCGTCAATTTTGTCAGGTAATTTCAGCTACTTAAATAATATTGTGTTTTTTTTCCCTCACGCAAATACTATGGAGAAATCGCGTTGTCATCTTGAAACGCGTAGGTGAAAAGTTGTATGGCGTGACTACAGCTTTGAAAATGAACTATCTTGTTCCGACATGGGAGACAGTTGTATTTGTAGAGACAGATTACAGATGATATACCTTGACTTTTGCTTTAAACGGAACTCATTTTACAAAGCAGATAATTATAGGAGTTGGGGTGGGGCTATTTGACATGATTTATTTATACATAACCTCGAAATTTGACATGAAATAATATCAAATTATCGTTTGGTCACTGAGCAGAAGTATTAACCAGCGGTTATTATTATCTGTCGCCATTAGAAGTGCCTCTTTTGATTGTAGGGTGTTGTTTTTTTCTTTGTTTTTTTACAGGGGGCGAGGGGGGAGTGTGTAATTGGGACAGTCAAATCATGTGGAAAGGAAAGTCTATTTGAATTGGATAGGAGCCCAACATACAGTTCAATCAAATAAAGGCGCACTTCGAAAAAAAAAAAAAATTTTGTTAAAGCAAAATTCTTTCTTAATTTTAGTGTAGAAAAAGAGGATGAGTCTGGCAAGATTTTTACCGAGGGCCTTGGGCCTTATCTTTGGCTAGTTAAATTTATTATTATTATTTTTTAAATCAAACAATTAACTAAACTTTAAATAAAAATGCACCAAATTCAAACCGTTTCCGGTTTCTTTTTCTCAGAGCCAGAAAAATTCTGCATCTCAACTTCAAGAACAACAACCACAATTTGTTGGAAAAATCCTATGCCTGGGATTACATTTGAAGGATATATGGTCGAAATTGTTGGATCTTTAGAAAGGTTTTGTTGGCCTTTTATTATAAGTTACCATAAAATTACCCTAAAACTCAGAGTTAAGGCGGACATCACCATGGGACATTACCATATATGATATTGGATCGTCCCTATGCCTAAGGCCTAAGACTAAGACCCCCACTAATCCTAATCAATTATTATTATAAACCAAGACCCTTAATTTAAATAATAAAAATAATAAAATACATATAAATTGATGAATATGACACTATTACTAATATATGTAGTATAGCAGTATAATATAACTTTTACTTTTAAAGATTTATGTATTATTTATTTTTAGTTTTAAGCATTTATACTCTTTCTAAAACCTTACTTAAGTGCATATCTAAAGCCAAAGCAATTTCTAAAGCGGCAATCTCGTTTTAACTTTAATGAAAACCTACCCTGAAAGTGAAAGAAATCCACCTAACTCTAAACCTACTCTAACCTTAACTTTATACTTAAATTAATCCTAAGTTCTAAGCTTAAGCCTACCCTAAAACAAACCATTATTTTACCATAAAATCATTCCATTACTTAGTTAACTTAGTTTATCTTCTATAATCGACAGTTAAGTAGAGTAGTTTAGGTAAGTATTGTCTATACCTACCCCTAACCTGCCATCTTATGGCATACTGTACCATTGTACCCTGAAACTTAAACTACACCCACCCTATCTGTGTGTTACTTAAAGCCTTAATCAAGGACTTGTGGCTGTACCCTATCATTATCATAAAAATTAAGACAGGATTTGGCTCACTTTGGGCTGGCTAACAAATGAAATTTGAGGAAATATAATTTATTTAGTTTTTAAATTAAAACTTGTACAGCCAAATGCTTTTGAATTCATTAAAGAAGTATTCCCATTTTTAAACAGGCTCTACCGACAAAATATCAGAAAAAGGGCAGTAAAATCATAATCCTCCTACCAGAATTTAAACAAATACATTTTGCAATCTTTTTTTAAATTCAGGACAGGGTATGTTCCTTTCATCGACGGACACACAGAGTCTTGTTTTCTAATTAATGGCACAAAAATTGGGGATCATTATGTGTTTTCAGTAAGTGTGAAATCAAGCACGTCTGTGCATGATACCAACATTCAACTTACGTTCAACAAAACAGCAACAGGTTGGTAGATTCTTTAATTTAATACTGGATAAAACACTTTTCATGAATTATCCATAATCTTTATTTCTTTTATTTCCTATCATATGGGAGTGGATCAAGTTTTTATTAAACCTTTGTTAAGCAGACTTGCTCAGTAAGACTTTAGTTTGACTTGCACATCTAGGAAATGTGGATTGAACCAAGTTTCAACACAATTTACTAGGAGGATTCAATAAGTTTTTAAATTACTTTGACCACCTAACTTTACCATAAATTTTATCAATGGCAAGATGCAAATAGTTTTATATAGACATTTGTTTTGTTTTATTTAATTAATGTATGTCAATTAATTATTTCAGATTTTTATTATGTTTGTTAAATTGTATGTACAGCAGTACAGCGTGGTGAGCCCAGCCCTAGGCTGGGGTACCATGCTATATAAAACCACGTATAATAAAATAATGATACTCCTTTCATAATCTTTTATTGTATATTTAATAATTTAAACAACATTTTATCTGGAATTTTAACTTATAATGAATTCTGAGGACTTATAGAAAAAATTCTGTTTGTGTCAAATGATATTGGTTTAAACAAACAACTATTGTAATGCTACTCCATAATTTTTTTCAGGATACACACGCGATTGTGCATTTTATGATTTTTCTGTTTGCAATTACAACAATCCTTGCAATGGTCAAGGTACCTGTTCACAAAAAACTCCTGGACTTCCTCTTACTTACATATGCTTTTGCAATGAAGGATGGAAGGGAGAAAACTGTACAATACGTGACTTGTGTGCCTATCTCCCTTGCCAGAATGGAGGATTGTAAGTGCCAGTCTGTCAATTGTGGTTTTTCCTTTGTGTTTTTCCATTTGTCCTTTTTAAAAAGAATAATTTGTTGTCCCTTTGTTACCCATAGACAAATTGTAATTTAGTTTAGCATTTCATTTTAAAATAGTTTTTCTATTTAAATGGCAAAAAAACAAAAACAAAAAAAAAACACCATCCTGCCTCATTATTAAATGAAAATAATATATTTTATTTTAATTGAACATTTCAGCTGTATTTCTCTTGATAATGCATCATACAATTGCACCTGCCCAAGTAGCTACTATGGAAAAGACTGCCAGTACTATGATAAGTGCCTTGATACCCCTTGTGCTAATTCAGGAACCTGTAACAGATACAATGGATCCTATTCTTGTAACTGTAGTGATGGCTTCTCTGGGAACCATTGTGAGGTGAGTTGTATTGATCAATCATTGCGATTTGATCTTTATTATATTATGCATGATTTTTATAGATTTATTCATTGAATTAAAATATTTAGATTTCATTTCATGTACAAACCTAGATAATTTTATAATTTGCTCGAGAAACACTTTAGATTTCTCATGCTTAAAATGTAATAGTCTGAAAATGTTGTCTTTGTAAGAATATTTATCTATGTGCTGAAAATGAATATGTATAATGTACCGTATTTGTTGGCATATAGGTCATAGCAGCGTATAAGACGCACACCCATATTTCAACCATATTTTCAGGAAAAAAAAGTGTCTTAAATACCAGCAAAGATTTTAATAATAAAAAAAATTCCCTTTATTTGGATAAATAAAGTATCTTATAGTATCTTGTCTTATCTTGGCATAAGATGTACCATTTTTTACTTTAATCTGACTATGTATTTCACCAATTAAAAAAAGATTTAAGTTTATTCTAGTTCTAGAGTGCCATTGTTTTTGCACAATTTCAAGACAAGAGAAATAGCCTTGCATACAGAGTTAATTTCACTCGGCTCTTTTAGCAACAAAAAGATCAAAGTCAAATTGTTTCTTTCATTCAAGCCAAATTTAAAAGACAGACAAAAAGGTGTTGAGTCAAGTTAAGTGTATAATTTCTTCCTCTTTCATAAGGTGACAGATCCGTGCGCACCTTCTCCCTGTGTGTCTGGCAGGGGTGAGTGCAGACGCCAGTCAGACACAGAGTTTTTGTGTGATTGTCTCGAAGATTACTATGGAGACCTATGTCAATATAAAGATGCATGCAGAATCAATCCGTGCTTATACTATGGAACTTGTGTCCCTGTCAATGACTCTTTTCATTGTCTGGTTAGTTCCTTTAAATCATATTCCCATTGACAGTGCTGGTATTTATTAGAAAATATTATAAATAATTTTCTGTTTGTGTTTAAGTTGTGAAAAAAATAATATAATGGAAGCTCAAATAAATTGAGTGATTATTCTTAAAATGCTTGAAAGTCAGAATTAAAATAATTTACAATCTTACTCAAATAAAGAAATGAAGCCAATTAAGTGTTTCATACAATGAGTACTCTTGTAATCCCAGCTATGAGTTAAATATCTGTGTGTAAAGGACATTTTGGCTAAGTGTGACAGCTGTTTTTTTTTTGAGAAGGTCAAGCATGAGTGAAAACCTCAACCACTGAGGATGGAAGTCAGCAGACAACTTTGCATGGAATTTTAAACCATCTGTCTGCACAATAGCTACAGTCTTACAGCTTCAAAAATAAATCTTGAGCATTTGATTTGTTTATTTACTTTGATGTTTGGTCACAATGACAAAACATAAAATTATCAATTTTAAAAAAAAAATCTTGTTTTATCAGCTTCTGATAGGATCAGTGTGAGTTACATTTCATTATGAGTTTTATCATAAATGATTAGAAACCACTTTCATAGTTCAATTAATTAAAATGCTTATTGTATTGTTCATAGTGCCAACCTGAAACAACAGGCCAACGTTGTGAGACTGCAGATCCATGTCAGTTAAAGCCCTGTAAGAACAGTGGAATTTGTAATGCAGACAGTAAAGGTTCCTACAAATGCAGCTGCACCCCAGATTACAGTGGAAACGAGTGCCAGTACTTTAACGCCTGTTATGGGGTTGATTGTAGAAATGGAAGCTGCCGCCAACTGTCAACATCTTACACGTAAATGCTATGAGCAATTTTTAATGTTATGAAATGCAAATGATTATTTTTATCAACCATTTCTTTCTGTTCAATATATGACACTAATAATGAAGAAGTGAGGTGTCCAAAAGATTGTAAAGAATCCAGATTCCTTTACCAGACACACAAATATTCCACAGATCAAGAACTGCTACATGATTTAAAGTGAAACAAAGGCAATCCCATCTCTAAACGAAACCAAAAATAAATTTTCAATGCCACGGAATGACCGTAACCTTTCACAAGTCATGTTTTAAAACCTTGACATCTATATTAACAACACTTGTTAATATAAATTTACAGATATTGAAAATCCAGAAAAAACTATAACTAGGACTTGTTGCCAAACCTCAGTTACTCTGGATTGTCAACATCTAACTGTAAAACCACCAAAAATTTGTGTCTTTTTAAAGTTTTCTTGTATGTTCTGGATCTTTAGGGTATCTTATTTAGAGTTTACAAAGGTGGGACATCACTGCCATAATTTGAGTCAATTAATTATGAATCAATCAGTTAAAGGAAATAATAAAAAACCAATATTCAAAATTGTAAGTTAGTTTGATAGGAAGCTTTTTAGAACAAAATATTGTTCAAACAAATTATTTCAAAATGAAATTTCTTCAAGAAATATTCTTTTTCTATTAAAAAAAATATTCCTTTGAACAAATTGCTTTCATATTTATTGCCGCATACCGAATCAAATGGCAGCTGAGCACGCTGAAAATCTTCCTCCATTTTTTTTTTTCAAGCTGTGACTGTATCAATGGATACTTTGGTAAACCCTGCGTCAACTACGACGTGTGTTTGAACCTGCCGTGTGGAGTTGGTGGCGTATGTAAGAGCTTTGATGTCAACAACAACTCCATAGCTGAGTACAAACCCTACTACCAGTGTGAGTGCACAGATGACTGGTACGGACCAAACTGCCAGTATGTGAACCTGTGCAACTCTGGTGTAAGTTGTTTCTGGTGTTTCAATTTACCAGTATTCATTTTTTTCTTAAATACATAAATTCATAAATCAAGGGAATCTTAATGGTTTAGGGAAAGGGGGGGGGGGGGGGGGGGGGGGGGCATCATAGGAGTGAATATAATATAAGAAGAGGGTGTGAGAAAGCAAGTGGAGGAGGATGTTGCAAGCTATGCATTTTGACACTTCTGATATTATTAAGGGACTTAATGAAGTTTTTTTTATCTTTGGGTGAAATCAGTTAGCATTAGACAGCCAATTTAAAAATAAAAACATTCCAAACCTTCAGATTAATTTAATGATAAAATTTAAGTTATGTATTCAACTCACCTGTGTAACAGACAATGAAAAAAATAATTTGTTCAGCATGAAAATATCTCAAAATTGCATGCAAAAATCAAAGTGGCAACGTCTCTTCTTTGTTATTGGGAGCACTTTTTTTTTTATCTTAAAGCCATGTCAGAATGGAGGAACCTGTAACAACATTCCCCCAAACAGCTTCAAATGTGATTGCCAGCCTGGTTACAACCTGACGGACTGCTCTGGTTACAACCCTTGCTACAGCCAACCATGTAAGAACGGAGGGGAGTGCTTGGTCGAGTTTACCGAAAGTTACCGCTGCGTGTGCCAAGAAGGGTATCTTCCACCGGACTGCTCAGAGTTTGACCAGTGCTTCCAGCACGACTGCAAAAACGGGGGGACCTGCGTACCAGATTCAGCCTATGGCTACCACTGTGACTGCCCACCTGGATACCTACCCCCAGACTGCTCAGCACGCAACACCTGCTACGTCAATGACTGCCAGAATGGTGGGCTTTGCAGGAACCTGTCCCAGACGACATACAAATGTGACTGTAATCAAGACTGGACGGGTGCCAGGTGTGAGCTGAGGGCCGCGTGTCAGGCGGACCAGGAGGGATGCATATGTGTGAACGAAAGGCTGCAATGTCCTCAGAGTAAGTGTGGGTTTTATTTCATTGGTGAGTTGGTGCACACATTGTGGCATGCTGGGTAGTATTGATGTCTCTCACTACAACATGTATATTGGAAGGCAGAAAAATTTTGCTAAAATTTTCTTTTTTATTTTCTTTTTAATAATAAATACAAGTAGATTATTTTTATGAAAGAGAAGGAAAATAATTAAGATAAGAATGAGTTAGAATTTTTACTTTTCTATATTTATAGGGTAGGCCTATATATAATTTAAAAAAAAAAATCAGATGAAGTTTGTGACTCAACTTTGATAAACTTAAAACAAAAATATTTATTTAATGATAAAATATTTGTAATAAAAAAAAGAAATGGTTCTTAAGATTATTATGAAAGTAATCTCCGATAAAGAATCTTAATAAAATGATACAAATTATATGAGTAGAAGCTGTGTAAGTTTATATTAACTATTTGATCTTTTCATAGCTGGATCAGTGTCCCAGAAGCTCAATAACTTGTTGGATCAAACTTCAGACCCTTCCAAATTAACTGTCAAGGAAGTTGTCTTCTACACTGATGAGCTGCTGTATCTCTATAATGAAACCCTATTCAAAAAGGAGGTAACATTGCTAACACACAAATGACGCTTCTGTAATGAAACCCTATTCAAAAAGGAGGTAACATTGCTAACACACAAATGACGCTTCTGTAATGAAACCCTATTCAAAAAGGAGGTAAAGTAGATTTACATTGCTAACACACAATGATGTAAAACAGGGAGATATACCATTAACAACTAATCTCATAAGTCCACAAAATTGCTAATTTATTTTTTTTGTAGTTAAAGACAACACTTTTATAGAAAGAAAAAAACAACAACCGCCTTTAGAATTTGAGCCTCTTATGCAATCACTGCTTAGTAAAATGTTTATGAACAGGTTGCTGTGATATTTTTTTTTATAATTTAAAACATTTTCTTAATAATTTTTAAATAAAATAACTTGTATAATATAAGACAATGATTAAAAATAAAAATTAATCATTGCGAGTGTGTTGATCTTTACTTGAGTGGGTGTCATCAAAATCAATCAATGTGTTGTCCGGAGTATTACTTTATCTAAATTAACTTAGTCAAAAGTTATTTAATATTGTGGTATCAAAAATTATAGATAAAACTCTTTCATACTGAAAGTAATAAGTTTGTAAATAATGAGTTCATCATTTCACAGTATGCCAGCATCGCCTTCAACGTGGTGGGAAATCTAGGACGTGCCAATGTTTCAGTGAGCAATGAAGCTGAAGTACTCAACAGTACTAATACCAGGTATGTGTGTCTCATATACATACTTCTGGCTTCTGTTTTATATTGCATGGGTTCATAAATGGAGGTCTACAATATTCTTACTGTTGTCAAATTGAAATTGATTCAATCCAAAAGGAAGACAACTGTGGTGATCTGACTTATGATTTATTAATGAGGGACATCTCTCGTATGAGATCTCCTCTTGGCACTCTGTCTAGGGATTCGTTATATAAGCCAAGTCACCACACAGACATAACAACCTATCTATATACATATAGTATAGACTGCAATGAAACCTTTGTTAAAGGAGATAATAACTACAAGTATATTGAATAATAATATTTACAAACTCCTCCGTAATACACTCTTGGTGCTTAATAGATATACACCAAATGGATTTCATCCAATTAGAAAGGTATATCAATACAAAACAAGTGTCCCTAACATACAGACTGTATCATCATTATAGATGCTATATTGCTAAGTTCCATGATCAATCTTTGTTGACTTAGCCTTTATAATTTTTGTGCTGATCTCGGTAGATCACACAGTGTGGGAGCTCCTTCTGTTCCTGAAGCGTGTCCCTGTTCCGATCTTCGGAGCTGTTCTAAGCGTAGCGAAGTCGGAGTTCCCGGTCGTAGATTCCGTGGGATCTTTGCGATGGGGATGTTGACTCTCCAGCGATAAATCATGGTAGTGAGAGTCCCTGGAACTCGAAGTCCTTCTAGTAGCTGTCAGGTAGTTTGGTGTAGGACCTAAATCTATCCCCTAGTTCCAGCTTCAAGGTATGTCGGTCCAGTAATAGAAACCAGGTAGTACTCTAGGTAGCGGTCGCAGTTACATATCACGCTGATGAAGGTCTAAGTCTAGATCCTTCCAGCGTCCACAGTCAAGTGATCAGATCATAAAAGACATATACTTGCTAGTATCCTAGGTTGCAGTTATAGATCACGCTACTGAATTCTCTAGGAAGTTATCTTCAGTGTTCACATTCAAGTGATAACGCTATGAAGTCTCTAGGAAGTTATCTTCGGCATTCACAGTCAAGTGATGAAGATCATAAAAGAAATATTCTTGCTTGTTCTGGCTATTTATTCGAGTTGGGTGATGATTCAATTGGGTGATTTAAATATTGTATGTTTTCCCATCCAATGACAATCACTTTCGATGTTGCGGGTTTGACCTTTTACCCTCAAAGTTTATTGGGCTTAGGAGAAAATCCAAATTCACGCTTTGGCGTGAGTTTTCTGGTTTAGAAATTCAATAACAACAAGGGACGATACTCTGCTTTGCTGTCTTCAGGGCAAAAATGAGGGTGGACATGGTATTATTTTCTCAAGGTTCATCGGTGAGAGGGTTGAACACAAACTCCATGCTTTTTGGGGTGAGCGAACTGACGTGGAAATGCGATAACACTAAGGGGAGTCACTCGTGCTATGTGACTGCGGGGCAACTTGAGGGGAGGTGAAGGTATTATATTACAAGGGTTTTCAAGGGCAGATTTAGGGTGGAGTAATTTTATAAAGTCCAGCCTCAGATCGTCACAACAACCAATGCATTTCTTTAGATGAATAAAGAGTTTGTGCTCAATCTGTCACAAAGCAGGGGAAACCCTATCTAAAAACATGGAGGAGTGTAGGAATGAGACCAAGTTGCAACGACAACGGCATAATCAGGGGCTAATGGCAGGAGTGATCCAAGCTGAAAATAAATAAAATTGGTGGATGGGATGGTTTGATCAAGAAATTAAAGATGACCCATTTCATTATTTTTTTTGTAATTTTAATAAAACTTAACTTTTCAGGCTGCGTGAGTTCCTAGACAATTACACGTCTGAAGTCAACATCACATCTGATGGGGAGATAACTATTCCAACCAATGATTTTGAGGTTAAGGCTGTCCTATTGAACAGAACGGATGATCAGCAAAACTTCACATTTGTGCTGGAGACCAACTTCAATAGCAGCCAATTGGATTTGATGGTAGGTTTCCTTTGTGCTTATATCCTATTAGTTTTTTGTCATTATGAACAGTTATTTAAACAAAGTTAATGTGTTAAACATTTTTTTCCCCTTCTTTATAATAAAAAGTAAATTGATTCAGTTAATTTTTTACATTTTCCTTACTTAAAATAAAAAGGCGATGGAATCTTAAATGATATAATTTTTATAATTATTTTCTTCATGTTCGTATACAAGATGTAGGCCTACATTTGTTTGTTTCAGCCATTTTTAACCAAATTCCTTATTAGACATATGTTTCAAAGAACTACAATTTTATTTAAAGGTTACTATTGCTAGATGTTCTCATGTATTGAAATGGCTGTCCTCATAACCTGTCCATTAGAAATTTCTTTCCAAGTTTAACTGCAAAAAAATTATGTTAAAAATTCAAAGAGACGTAAAATTTTGTATTTTGCTTTTATATACAATTTTGCACCCAAAACAACTTTTGGGTCACAATTACTAATTTTCTATCTCTTGCCAGCATAATTTGAGCATCACCTTACCATGGTTAGTGGTCGGAGATTCCAACACCAGCACAAATAATACCAGACTGCAATTTATTGGCTATAAGAGATCACAGCTTTTTGTCCCAGCAGAAGGTTTTGGGCAGTATGGAGCCCTGGCAAGTTTGATATTGAACAGACAGCGTGTTGTCTCGGCCACAGTCAGGGGCAGGCAGCTGACCAATTTGTCAGAGCCAGTTGTTATTCGGCTGCCCAAGATTCAAGTAAGTTTCTCTATCTCCTTTTATTAAATACCATAAAATAAGTTGTTTCATACACATATTAGTCCTGGGTGATGTTGAGAATGTGTTTGTTTAGCAGAATTATTCATTGAATAGTGGCAAATTAGAATTATTATTTTTTAATAAAGAAAAAAAATCAGACTAATGTTGACATTTGATCTGTTAATAAAAAAATTTAATCTTAGAATCTGTATTTTAAATTTAACTGCATTTGGAACTTTTATTATTTTCAAAAAGAATACTTTTAAAAATTTTAACCTTGTTTTTTTTAATTTGATTTTCAGGAAGGTGTTAATCACACATGTGTTTTTTGGGATACTAATGGTTAGTTGATTATAATGGTTTCTTTAGTTTACAATCACTTATGTATGTTTCATACATATTTTTTTAAATATGAAATGTTACTTTCTTTAATTTACCTCAACTAAAAATTCATAAATTCGTAATAAATTAAAATCAGCTTCTTACAAGAGCTTAAATTTAAAATGTAATGAATTTGCCACAACGTATGTGGCTCATGTCAATTGTTTAGTTGTTGTTTTTTACCAATTGTTAACATTATTGATAGGTTTATTGCCCTTTTCTTTTATTGTTTAAAATGTTTTAGATGTTTAAAAAAATGAAATGCCCAATAGCAAACAAAACAAAAACTAAGTTTCACAGATAATTTATTTTTCTGTTTTATTATTGTTAGTCTCCTTTGAATGACTTCATCTAGTCCAACTTGATACGTTAAGACCAATGTTTGACTTTGTATTTTGTGCTTGTCCTTTCTCAGCATCCAATTGGTCAACAGAGGGCGTGATACAGTTTGAGGATGAGTTTGGTTATGTCACATGTCATTCTGACCATCTGACAAGTTTTGCTGTGCTCATGGTTGGTGGAATAAGTTTTACTCATTCATTCATGTGAAGCATTCAGTGATGATTGATTTTTCTATAAACCATAACTTTGTATCTGAATTTTTTTTTTTCAAGTTAACTATTGACATTTAACTTTTGAATCTGATCTGTTAAAAAAATTGCTGAAATAATCAGTAATACATATTTGTTTACTGCTTTAATAATGTCTAAAAATCAATCACATTTTATCAAAGTGTTTAGAACCACTGAAATCCAAACTGATAAAACAGAAATTAATTCTGAGAATAGTGTTTTGACCATGAACTGTTCATGAGAAGAAGTCCAGCACTAATTAAGAAAGATTTCAGTTGAAAATAGAGTGTCAGAATCAAACCATTTGAACAAACAGATCTGAGGGTTACACATGCATGATTTCACTTGTAAGACTATTTAAATAGTGCTAAATTTTTTTCGATATTTTAAAAAATATTTTTGTTTGCTTTCACATAATGAATATTTTGATGTTCCTTCTTTTAAAAACAAATGACACAAAAACATTCCATTTAAGGATGCCTCTCCCGGTCAAAGATTATCCAAAGAACATGAAGATGCTCTGACATACATTACTTACATTGGATGTGGCATATCTCTGGCATGTCTGGTCATTACGGTCTTGACTTATGGCCTCTTCAAGTGAGTGGCAATGTATTGTGATTGTATGACCATGATTTGTTAATAACGTTAAATAATAAAAGAAGCCTTTATGATGTTTATCAAACGTCTTCAGTAATGTCAGGCATATAATTTTTTTTTAAATAAAGATAATTATATAAATGTAATTACATTCATTAAATAAGAATGATAAATATACATTTAAACTGAGTTTAAAAGCTTTAATAAATAACTTAAGAATCTTGCCTTTCTGTATTTGTTTACAACCAAAGATGTCTCAGCAATGACAAATCTGGCAAGATTTTAATTCAGCTGGGGACATCTCTGATATTCCTCAACATCATCTTCTTAGTAGGATCAGTGGATGTGTCACAGTACAGGTATCTTTACAATTCTATCATTAGTTTTACCTTTAATCTTATGCTGGTCTGTTTGTCCCACTGAGTATAAATAAAATCCACAATATATTTCACACAAGTTGATTAAAGCCGGCACCACAAATTATGCGCAAGCTCTAACATTAAAATATGCCTAAGAAAGTAATAAGACATATTATAATAAACTTTTATCTCTTAAAACGGCTAACCTACTAAAAATGCATCTATAAAAAATATTTCTAAGGTTCTGCTTAATAACAGCAAACAATTATTTCCAATATTTGGACTAGAAATTTGTCACTGATTTTAGAAACTGACATCACTTAATGAAGACAGATAGAATAAGTTAAAGCAATGTATAACAAAGAAAGAACATGTGCAATTACTGAATGTGGGGTAGAATGTAATTAAAGCAAATTCTCAATTAACCTCACTTAATTTAAGAAATTGTTATCATGATGGAACTAACTAGATAACAAATTATTCAGGCGATAACTGTCTTCTGATTAACAGATAAATAGGTGAACCAGATAAAAACTCTGTGCTTTCTTTTAATTTATATCTGCTAGTAATGTGGGTTGTGTTATTGTGGCTCTGCTGCTCCACTACTTCATCCTGGCTGCCTTCATGTGGATGCTGGTGGAGGCCATAGAGATGTACCAGGCTCTTGTCACGGTCTTCAGTAAATACGAGAGGTTCTACCTGATCAAACGCTGTCTGGTGGCCTGGGGTGAGTAGTTTGCATTCATGTTTGAAGTGTGCAGCGGATGTTGTATGGCTTTTTTTTTTTTCTGGGGTTTATATGTTTGAGTTTGGCTGCCTGGGAATGTATGATATGGCTGTTAGAAGTATACAGTATTTGGTGATCTGGGTTATATGTGTTTGGGTTGTGTTGCCTGGGTTCTCTGAAATTTAAAAAAAAAATATTTGTATTTCAACAAGTAAGTTGCCAGTGTAATATTTAGAATTTACATCATAAGAAATTACAGTTTTAAATATCAGCGCAAAGCTTTTCTATGACATCTCAAGCATGTCAAATTGAAGCATTTTCATTTATTTAATTTCTAATTGCTAGATGCAGAACATAGATTTAGGGCCTATAAATTTGGCAAAAACTCATTGCAATAACATGAGAGTTGAAATCAGAATTATTAAAATGATTCCTTCCAGGTGTCCCTGTTCTAATAGTTGGCATCACAGCAGCTATTGACATTGACAGCTACCATAATGACACAGATCCACGGGAAATGTGAGTATATGTGACACCAGGGAATGGAAAAGTTAAGATATTATTTATTATTTTTATTTTAAGAAACTGATTTCTATATTTGAGCTTGATGGTGGCATTTTATTTAAATGACCTGGGGGAAAAAGTGGGGGTGGGTGGGGTCTGGCCTTTAAATTCTAAGTTTCAAGCACTATATTTAAAGATATTTTTGGGGTTTTGACAAACAAGAAAAAACAAAGACTTTATAAAAGCTTAGCTCAGTTATCAGAAGTTGGTCTGGGATGGTTATTTTTGAAAGCAGACATATGAGCAAAAAGAAGCAAAATGTTTGATGATACAATGTTTAATAAATATAAACAATAATTTTTTTCTTTAGTCCCAGATATAAAAGCTTTGGGACAGGTGGATATTTTAAAATAATTTGTATATTAGCTTTCATGAATGTCATTTTTAATTGGATCACTTGCAATTGATTTTAATTAGAGAAAAATATATTAATTTTTTTTTAAATGCCCAATATATTACATAGAGGTGATTAAAGAGGCTTACTCTCCACCCCATAATACTGATGCATTACTTTGTTTCAGCTGTTTCCTGACCAGCCGCAATGCTGCAGCCTACTACAGCTCTCTCATTGCCCCATGCTGTCTCATTATCATAATTAATACTGTGGTGTTTATCATGGTGGCTCGTGTGATCCTCAAACCAAAATTTCAGGTAACTCATCAAAACCACTTTGAAATCCTCACGTTGACGCCAAAGGTGTTAAAAAATTGAATGCAATTAGCAATGAATATGCTTCAACTTTAACCCAAAGCAAACCTCTTCAAATGACTGAGTTAATATAATGTGGAAATTATCTTGTTTTAAACCCATTTTTCTGTTTCTTGCTTATTTATCCTAGACATAGTGTTACCATGATTTTATATGGTAGAGGAGGTAGTGGTTAACAAAAAAATTCGGATGGGGTTTAAGGGTGGGGAAACCATCAGAAACTACTGTAACAAGTCATCTTGTACTGTAACAAGTCATCTTGTACTGTAACAAGTCATCTTGTACTGTAACAAGTCATCTTGTACTGTAACAAGTCATCTTGTACTGTAACAAGTCATCTTGTACGGTAACAAGTCATCTTGTACTGTAACAAGTCATCTTGTGCTGTAACAAGTCATCTTGTGCTGTAACAAGTCATCTTGTACTGTGACAAGTCATCTTGTATGCAGAAGTCAAAATTATAAAACATTTTGACTTGTTGACCTAATTGTTTATACACATAATTTGTGTCATTTAATTTTATAAAGTAAATATTGACTGACATTTTTTTTTGTAAAAATTTATAAACAGCAGCAGCTGAATAATGACACCGTGACCATCACACCGGCCCAGATCAGAGGAGCCTTCACCGTCATGTTCCTGCTGGGGATCACCTGGGTCTTTGGACCCCTGGCCATCAACGAGGCCAAACTTGTCTTTAGCTACATCTTCTGCATCTGCAACTCTCTCCAAGGTTTTCTCATCTTTGTGTTCCGCTGCCTCCTGAACCCTGAGGCTAAGCTCGCTTGGGTGCAGCTTTTCCAGACAGGAACCCTTAAACGCAGGCGTGGGCCAATCAAATCCGTGTACACCGACTCATCATCTAAAGCAGAAGGCAACCAGCGCAGAATGAGCAACAGCAACGGGAGCGGTTTCCTCAGCACGGGGAGCACCAAAGTCAACTTGACCAAGAGTGGCAACGGATTTCATCCACACCCACATCAGCTCCACACGACAAACGGATGGCATCCCAATCTGAACGGGACAAAGTCAGATAAGTTTCAGACCTCTACCCAAGGCCTCAACTACAAACTCTCCCCGAAGTTAGAACGTCGCCACAGCAGAGAATATTCTATAACCACAAAAAGAGAATCACTCCCCAATGATTCAATGTCTGAATTCCAGGATGAACTAACACATTTTTGAAATTGATGTGCAATTAATGACTCAGTTCTTGATATGTGTGTACCACAGTCATACTTTGAACACTCTGTCTAAAGCACAGTAATGCTTTGAACTCCAAGTGAGTACATGTGACAGTCATGCTTTCAACTCATGCTTTGTACCACACTCAAGTTTTGACACAGCTGTTACATGAACTGACAATTCCATGTTTTAAATGTACAATGAGGTGAAAGCCAAATCTTTCTTCCCCAAAGCCTTTCAACTTACAACTTTAAGTAAATATGAAGTACACAAAGATGCCTTGGAACTGAGCCAAGATGTAGGAAATGAGACTTAAATAAAAATGCTTAGAGCTTACAGGCTACACTCAAATGGTGGCTGCCTATCTCTACAGTGGAGTTGAAGGTTCAAAGGTGACCAACCCAAAATAAACAGACCCTAGGAATGACGGGCTGGATTCTTCAGTCTTTTTACTTTTAAAAATAAATCTCCTTGAACACAGGAAGGGAACAATGCAAGTCAAGTCTGCTTAACTTTTATGATGTACCTGCTGTTTAAACATTGAGTTTCATGCTGATGATTGAGATCTGAAGGGGAGGGACAGGAAACACACTTCTCAACAAAGTTATCTTAGTTCTGTCTTCATTACTATTGACTAAATTAGGCATGAGAAAAAGATATTTTTCATTGCTGTTCGCCTTGTTTGTGATAACAGTTCTCAAGTAATGATTTCAGTCTACTTTATGAAATTGCTCTTTTTATGTTTTTTAAATGTGATTTCATCAATATGACAACTAAGAATAATTCTCCTCTGTTTGTACTCTCTTCTGATAGCTATCTTCAATAATAAATAGAATGGGATGCATATTTTTCCGACAATCCACTGTTGACTTTCAGGACCAGCAAAAAATGTATATTTATTTATTTATCAACAAGAATGTATCTGTTATACAGTTGTATAAAAATAAGATCAGCTAATTGTCAACTTATTGTGTTGCTTAGGTCAAATTTTGATGTGTTATATGTATATATAAATGAATTCCTTTGTAAAGCCAGTAAATTTTAGCTGCATTGTTTACTTCAATATATAATCCCATACTGCTGCTGCCCTGTTTGCTACTGAAGGGATGTCAAAAAACACCAACAACAATGTCTGATAAAAATGTTAACATTAATTGATCCTAATCATTCTTCACTACACAGGTTGATAGACAACCCCTGTGAACTCTATATTTGAATATTTAACATTAGTCATTCCTTTATTTCATGATATTACTATTGTTTTATTTTAACTTTGAGAAAATAAATCATTTTAATGTAATCTTAAAAGATTCAGGCAAAACTTGTTTTTTTATAAATTAGAACAGCTTGACCAATGCAGATTTTTTAAAGTGTTACGTTTAAGTTTATTGTATATTTGGATCTACATTTCATAAGTGTAATTGAAGTCAATGATATTAATTTTACTAATATTCTATGTTCTGTACTTTTTCAGCAGAGGTTATAGAATATTTGGTTTAATGAAAAGTAATTGCTTATAAAAGGATGTCTTGTTGACTGTTGATGTGTATACAAAGATGGATATTTGATGTATTTGCTTTGCAATTGTTGTCTTTATCAACATGTTGCCAACAATTTACTGGAAAACAAAGTCGTATTTTATGATGAGTGGATGAAGAGATACGTTTCCCTGTAGAAAGTTAGATCTGACTTTACAGTTGATTGAATCAATATTTTATGCTTGACTGTTCAATATTTTCATTCAGGCCATCCATGGGGGCAGATGTTTGGCTATGACTGGCTTCCTCATGTCTGAATTAATTACTCTTAAGTATATTTTATGATTATGTGAAAGAAGGTCAAGCATAACTTATTATTGAATTGACCTATCTTGAAATATGAGGATATCATTACATGAATACTGTATAGAAAGCAAGAGGAATTGAAGTAGTTTGATGAAATTGATTTGTTCGGAGATTATGAATACTTTCAGTTTCCATGGCTACTGATCTCTCCAAAAGTGGATTGTGAGGAATTGAAGCCTTTGTCTGAATTAGCACTATCCCTTAAACAGGAAGTCAGCTTATGTTCCTACTATGCCCTTATTTAGCTTCAAGTTTAACCATACAGATAGTGTTTCACCACATCTCTGTTAATTAAATATTTTAATAAGACGGGAATAATTTCTTTTTTTTTTTTTAAATATAAGTTAAACTTTTATCAGTACAACAAAAACATTAATTATAAATTAAATTTACATTATATATGTATATCCTACCTATACATACAAAAATTAAAGAAAAGAATAAGAATGGACACAAGTCCCTAATGAAAACAAAGATCAGAAGAGAATATTGATTATTATTTTTATACCAGCTGGTCATACATTTTTCAAGACTATTTTTATTTCATTTTCATACAAACATTGAGCTTGTGAAAAAATGTGTTTAAAGAACTGACAATAAAATGAATTGGCTACTTTCCTGATCTGCACTAGTGGCATGATCCTATTTTAAAACAAAACATCTTTTAAGTTTTGATACTAAATTTACACTTGGAAAAAAAATTATGTTGAATGTTATATGTTTCCTATGAGCTTTCATGTGCAGATAAACCAAGCCTTATTGTTTTGATGGTGTAAAGACTTATATTCTTTTCATGTGTACACTTCAGGATTGTTTATCCAAGTTGAATGTTTGCAAGTCCCCTGATGCAAATGTATTGAATTCATTTTATCTGTTTCATAAATATTTGTGTACTAGTCGTCTTCACTTATAAATTTTACTTTGTGTTGATATAGTCATTCAAGTAATTTATTGCAATTTTATATTTTGTGAATTTATGATGGTCTGTACAATATATTATAGATATATGTGTATATGATGTATTTATACGTGAGTATGAAGAAATATATGATTTGACTATTTAGTTATGGTTTACCAAATGAAATTATTCATTTTTGGTTAAAAAAATATTGATGTTAATAAATACAAGTTTTTACGCACATACTTTATTTAAAAAAAGATTTTGAAGAAATACGCTTATTAAAAAAAATGGAAAATTATTCATAAAATGTTGCGTCTTTGCAATGCTAACTTTATCATTTGTTATGCTTTTACATTCTCTCTATAGGATTTATCAACTTTCTGTTGAGTTATATAAAAATTGATATCCTTTATTGCGAGGGTTTGTATTGCACTTATTGTTGGATCAAGAAATTAATTTTGAAGTTAGATATACATTTTTCTTATAGCATGAAAATAGAAATTTTTATCTATTGATTTTTTTTTAAATTAAAAAAGAATATACATACAAAACTTTTAAAGAGAAATTCTTTAGATTGTAAAAAAATAAAATGAAGTAATTTAATTATAAAGCTTATTTTGCTTCTGTATGAAGTATCGACAAGGTGGGACACCCTAAAAAAATCCACAAATTGACCTTCCAGCAGGCCACACACCTGGTGGCAATCCATCTACCATATCTCCCCATGACGCCTCCTTGGTTAAAGCAGACAGAAGAAGATGATTAAGTTTCAGTCTCATGATTTTAAAAACACTTAATTTGGGTGACATGATAGAAATTTGGAACTTGGGTGCAAAACAATAATTTAATGATAATGATCTACATGCTTTTGAACAAGTTAGTTTTTAAAAAAAATTAATTTAGGCTATATAAATGATCTATGTCATAGATACTAATACTACATTACTTCAACTTAACAGTGATAATACTAGCTGTAAACAGTATGACTATTATCCTTATTAGTTATGAAAAGATCTTAGTACATTTTTACCAGACTTTGTTTCTCTCCAACATACATATGAATTATTGGTGCTTTATCTTTGAATTTGAAGCCTGAGATCAGGCTACTGAAACCAGTTTGGTAAGCAATAATTAGACTTCATTTTTCAGCTGGTTCAAGGAACTATGAGAATCAGGCCTTTTTTTTGTTTTTTTGTTGAACCTCATTTCATAAAGTAGGATTTTATCAGTGCCCTTGTGAAACAAGTGAACAAGATAATTTTGAGGTTCAAAAGTTACTGAGACTTATTTCTTCAGTTCACTGTCACTGCTGAGTTGTCTTATCTAAGCTGAGTTATCCTTTAAATGCTGGGTAGGCCTAATCTGCTGAGCTATATTTTCATGCCAAGTTGTCATTTTGATATCTGCAGGTTTACCCTTTTTGGGATAGTATTCTATATTTTAGCCATCATTTTCATGTTCTGAGTTAGCTATACAAAAACAACAAAAGTACAATTAACTGTATGTTTTTTCTAGGCTAGCATTGTGTTGAGTTAATGGCACATGACAAGCCACAGCACAACTCCTTATTTCAGCATGTGTTTCACTCATCATGACAAGACACTGCACAGCTCCTCATTTCAGTTTGTCTTGCTCTCATAAGACACTGCACAGCTCTTCATTTCAGTTTGTCTTACACTCATAAGACACTGCACAACTCTTCATTTCAGTTTGTCTTACACTCATCATTGAAAACACCTGAGAAAAAAGCTGTAACCAAATCTACTCAAGCACTGGTAAAATTGTATTTTAGTAAAAATTGTTCTTTCATTTATCGACCTCACCGTGGAAACTTAACTATTATTGCTATTTCTGTCCCTCAACACAGATGTAACTATCTTTTACCCATCAAACGTTTTATAAACAAAGCAGTGACTCTTTACATGTATTTGATATGAAACTACAATAATTTAAATCACATTGTTATCAGCCGAAACATTTTTGTAAATACATGTAGGCCTACAATATGCTGTACATAATTTCTTTTTTTCCTTTTTTTTTTTTTTTAAAATGTTGAATAATTTATACGATGAATTATCTATGCTATTTATTTTGTTTAACACTGCTACTGGTCTTGCTCTTGTATTTAAATGTTTTATTTTAGCCAGGGTAGTAGGAATCTCATTGAGACAAAAAAATGATTTAAAAATATTTCACTCGTTTTCTCTTTTTTTGGCAGTTTAACGACCCAACAACAATAAATCTGGGTGATGTTTTTATCATTTTATTTTTACCACAACACCTTTAATCAATTTTGCAGAAAACTTTTTGAGTTTATTTTTAAATGGTCAGTCTGAATGAATTAGATCTATATTTTTATTTTTTTTTAATTTTTAATTGTTAACATTTTTTTTTACATATGAAAGTTCATTCATGTTTCTTAAATTTAAAAAAAAAATTATTTTCTTGCATTTTTTTATCCACACACAAAATCCAGTTTTCCCCTCCCCCCAACTCCTAAATATTATTATAGAACCCAATGAGATTTGTAAAAAATGTTATAAATCTGTTGTTCATTGAATTCTTAAGTATTTTTTTATGTGTGTCCACTCCTCAATGTAACATTTACTTGTGTACTTGTACAGACATCAGACAAACTATCTCCTTTAAAATACACATGTAAGACTGAAACTGTTAACTTGTATTTATAATTATAAGAGAACAGTAAAAAAATTATAATTAGCCTAATTATGTTGTGAGAGAGTTGTTTATAGAAAACACTAGGAATCTAAAACACAAAATTTAATTATTTTATTCAAAATGGTTAAAGTGGTGTTGTTGTTTTCCTTACTATTTTCTTTTGTTTTTCTCTCCTTCACAAACAACCTTTTTAAAAGAAATTCTTGAACAGGTGCTGCTTTTGTTTATACAACTTGATGAAATCCAATAAATGAC